GCTGGGAGACTTGTTTTCAAGCTGGCTTCATCAAAGTTGGTGAGTGTCTCCTCTGTAAGTTCAAGGCATCACTGGAGTGTCCTTACTGCAGTGTCTGGATCCTCTCCTAGCAAGCAGTTCAAGGGGCCAGGGTGGAGGTCATAGGGCTGGGCTGTGGAAGCACACATGCCCGTTCTGGTAGTGTTCTGTGGGTCACAGGTTAGCCGATTTAATGAGAGGCAGGACACAGACTACAAGCGGTGAGAATCCTCAGGCCTATGGGGAAGGTGGTCATCCATATACATGAATGGAGAAAACATCTGTCAAGAACTCAGAACCCTTCCACGCTACCAGACCTGATGTGGTGATGAAGTGCATACAATGGCACACAGTAAGTACCCCTGCTTGGAGCCGGCCTCTTGGTTCCTTCAGGTAAGCAAAATGGGTGGGAAAGGCCAAGCAACTGGGCTGCTCCTACTCGTTTGCTAAGTAAGAAGAGGTAGGTTTTGGAACTAGCCTCCTGCAGCGCCTCACTTTCCCCAAGAGAAATCCCAGCGGAGTTGAGTGCACTATCTCTGAGTAGAAGTAGGGGAGGGGAAGAGGAGGAGGAGAGCTATAGGATGATCCTTTGAGGATCACAGGTCATTGAGAGCTTGGAGAGTCTTGTTTTCAAAGATCTCCTTTTAATAGAGCAATTTAAGGCACACAGCGAGGCACTGTATATTTCTACCCATACACCTGTAGTCCCCACTCCCACCCCCAGTGGGGCAAAACAAGCTTGGAAATTGCTAAAAGTTTGTGATTTAAATCAGGGTTGACCTTTAAAAAAAAATCTGTACGTTTGCATGTATAATGGCATTTATCCATTATATAAAGCTTTTTCTTTTTTAGTGGTACTCAGGGCCTGGCGCTTATTCGGTGGGTACAGATGCTACAGCAACTTACCTCCAGTCCTTAGTCAAAGGGCTGTGTTTTACATAAGGTATCCATTCCTGCCCACAAGGACGTCTAAGTTCCCATCCACCTGTTCTTTTTAATATTCCCATCACTGTGTCCTTCTCATTGACCAGCTTCCCACCAAGGACGTGGAGTCTCCTGGATTTCTTGGCCTGATACCACAATCCTCCCAATGTCAACTCCTACAGAGCTTGCCATGACAGACATGTGCTATGAGTTGAGAAAGAATTTTTTGAACTTTTCTGCCTAGGCTGGTCTTGAACCGAAATCCTCCTATTCTCAGCCTCCTAAGTAGCATGGATTACAGGCATGAGCCACTAGTGCCTGGTTTATACACTGAATTTTCACTCTTCTATAAATTTTCTGTTCATCTCTCATGTGTCTCAACTTCATGCCACCACTGATCTACAGTCTCCATGGTCTTGTCTTTCCCAGAATGCCATGAGATCATGTAAGGAATGTCCTTTCAGATTGGCTTCTTTCATTTAAATACATATGTGTGTGTGTGTGTGTGTGTGTATATATATATATATATATATATATATATATATATACAAATACATAACTAATTTGAGTTTTAGTTTTATGCCTTGATCCTTTCTAGCACTGAAATATTCCATTGTCTCTGCAAGCCACAATGTATTAGTTTACTTAACGAAGGACATCTTGGTTGTTTCAAAGCTTTTAGCAATTTATAAATAAAGCTATAGATGTTTCTATGTAAGTAATATTTCATACCAGAGTTATGAGAACTGTATGGTAAGAGCATACTGTAATAAGCCACAAAACTGACTTCTGAAGTGGTCACACTATTTGCTTTCCCACCAGCAAGGAAGAGTTCCAGTTGCTCCACCCCCTCTGCAGCATGTGATGCTGTCACTGTTCTGGACTTCTGGCTTCTTGTTTCTAGGTTGCTTCAATGTGTGCATTGATTCCTTGAACTGGCATTTTACTGATTACTGTGATGTAGTACATTTGGTCACAGGCTTGCTATCTGTGTATCTTCTGTAATTTGCTGTCTACTAAAATATTTTTGCTTATTTTTAAATCAGATTGTGAAGTTTGTTTTGTTGTTGTTGTTTGTTTACTGTTAACTCCTAAACAGTTCTCTAAATATTCTGGACAACAGTTCTTTATGAGATGTGGCCTGAGCATAAGGGGATAGCCACATACGAGATATACTCTGTGTATTCTAACTCTGGGTTCATTCTCTAGCACTGAAACAATAATCAAACGAGCAAATGAAACCTTACAGATGCTAGTTCAAACATGGTGCTAGATCCTGCTGTATATACATCCTTGGCCCCAGGTTCTAACTCTGCATCTGTGGTGTCAGCCCAGAATGGGTCCTTGGGCAGTTGCTTCCCCTGTGGGTGGAAAACAGCTGTCACTGTTGCTCAGAGCTGTGTCTTTTCTCAACCACACCCAGGGGGAAGGTCTTCTGAAAACTTCTGGGTGGAAACTTTTTCTTTCCTTTTTCAGAAACATCAGATAATGCCCCCAGAAGTTTATAGATCTTTGACAAAGTTATCAGCCCATTTCTGAGCCAAACACTTAGGCAAGGAGGTTTTATACTCCGATGAGCTGAAGCCATGGAGGATCCATTCTTGGAACTGAGAGTGGTTGGAAAGTGAGGAGGGCCAGGTCAGGCAGTCAGTCAGGAAGCTGGTGTTGGGAGAGGTGACAGCGCAGCTAGAAGGTGGCAGGATAGAAATGTAATAATGCTTAGCAGGACTGCACTTTACTCTCAACTATTCAGGATATTCAGTGGTTACTAGCCAGAAAACTTTCCTGTTTGTAAGCAGCACCCAAATGATTATGCGTATCCCATTGTTTCAGTGCTTTGGCTTGCCTCCCCCTGGAATAAGTAAGCCATCCCAGGAGCTCCTTGGAGCTCTCCAGAAGCCATGCCAGAGCAGTTTGCCACACACACTGGAGGGACAATTGAAAGGCAGCATCCATTGACCAGTTCTGCTTGAAGACTTTGTGTTTTTCAAAAGCTCAATAAGCAGCCCAAGTGACCACCATGTGTTTGAAACCTAGCGTGTGTCTTCAGAAGACAAAGTGCCTAAAACTAGAGATGGGAAAACTTGTAATTTTTTTTAATTAAACACTATAGACAGGAGAGGTAACAGTCTAAGTAAAATAAGCACAAATCCCACATTTTTGTTTCAAAATTAAAACTGAGCTATTTGAGAAAGTTGTAATATGGAATTCAGAAATCTGCCTTGGCTATATGTTCTGCACGTTCACTAGGCCTGCTTTCTTAGGGCCACAAGGCTCCCCGCTGACTGTCACACTCAGCTGAGAGTCCCATAAAACCAATGGGAGTGAGGATGGAGGGAGAGGAAGTGGAAGTAATTTCTGTCTTCATCTCTATGCTTAGAGAGCAAGACTGGACACGTGCTGCTGCCCAAGGAGGCAGCATGAGAGGGTCAACGGACCGGCAGACCACTCAGCCCTGTTCAATGTCCAGAAAAGACATCAGCCAAGTAACACAACTGCAAAGCAGCCACAGCCTAGGCCAATCTATTCCATTCGATCTCAGAAGCATTTCTCAATTATCCAAGAATAATGGCCAACGCTATGAGAACCACCTTCTCTATGAGAAGACATGCAGGCTACTATTATCTATGAATAATTGCTTACTCTTAGCTCTGGTTTTCTCTATGAGAAGACAATGGTTTTTCTCTTCATAGATTAGTATAAAAATCAAACCATTCACATAGGAGGTACCTAGAAATGTCCAGATGAGAACAAACCTTACAAAGACCATTTCCTACCTGCCCCCGTCCAGGCCTTCACCGTGATCCAACTCTAATCATATGTCAGAAGTTGGCTCTCACCGTAGACCTTTATGTGCTCTAGGTGCTCACAGCCCTCCACCTGCACGCGTGTGGAGTCCTATCATACAGCACTCTAGTAATTGTACCATACAGAGAGATTGTCACACAGATGCGAAAACAACACAAAATTGCCAAAAGGAACATGCCCTTACCTATTAACAAACATACAACCTTGAAACATTTCCTTTGAAGGTGGGCCCGTTTTGCAGTTACAGTATTGCAGTTACAATAGCAACAATGGCAAACATCTCTCCTACAAGCCTGCAAAGTCCTTGAAGGTTGGGATCTCTCTTATTCAACTTTATATTCTCCTAGAGGCCAAGCTGCATGCATGAGGAAGATTCTGAAAGATGGATCCGCTGAACAAGCATGAACCAAATGGCCTATCACCTCAAGGGCTTAAGAGTGTTCAATTGCCATAAAATGAAAATATGGAAGTCAAAGTAAAGGTGTTGGACCCCCCCAAAGAGTTAGGTCACTACTTTTAAATCTTTTTTCAATGATCATTTTTAAATTAATTTCTTGGCCCAGAGACAGACATCTATCAAGTCTAGCTCTGAGATTCCTTAGCCACACAAAGATATGAAATGAGTTTTCTAAAATCCCTAACGGCTTTAAACATAGATGCCCAAAGCTGCTGCATACCCTGTGGCAAACCTCTTATGAGAGAGGCAGCACCAAGTTAGGCATGATGAATGTGAATGAGGCCCACAGTCGCCCGGTTGAGGACCCTCCTGGTTTATGGAGCCATAACTGACAGCGCACACACAGCTCTGATGCAAGGCAGGAAGGGGTGAAGCCATGCGTGAAGTACTGACAAGGAACTCTCAGCGGTGGAGCTGAGGACGTGCAGGGTGGCATTCGTTCCTGCCACAATGTAGATAGCCGGGAGCAATCATCATGCCATGCACAAAACACAACTATGACCAAGACAGACAGAACTGGACCTCACGTCTGCAACATCTGGTGGTAGGAGAAATACGAGCAAGGAGAAATGCTGGGGAGGGACCTGCAGAGCAGTGAGGAAAGCAGAGCACGGCAAAGCAGATGGGTGGAAGACACAAGCAGGCACAGAGCTGCTGAAGCCAGCCTGTGGAGTCTACAACCATTCCAAGCAAACAACCCCGCGACAGAGTGACACCAAGAGGGTGTCCAAATGCATTTTGTTTTTCTATAACACAAAGGAAGATGGCTGAAAGAAAATTCCAAACAAGAAAAGTAATTTAAACCAATTTATTTGTGAGAGAAAAACATCTGGACATCAGGTACTGTCTGTTCCACACTGACCCAACAAGGTGGCAGGGCTCGTTCTGAGAGCACTTTTATGCAGGGTGTAAAAGAACGTCCATGTGGAACATTTATCAAAATTCACAAAGCCATCTAAGCTGAATATGATACAATATGTAATGACCATGATACAGTAAGAAAAATACAATATCAAATACTCGCTACTTTGTGAGTTACAAACTACAATATAAACAATTTAGGCCCCTTGTTAAAAAATGAAAAAATATTTCTATTACAGCCTCATCTCAAGCATTTTTAGTTAGATATAACTTTATACATTTCACTCTCAATAAACAGCAAAGGAATGTCTTCTTAAGTAACTGTAGGTAAAATATATTACTTTCTTCAATATTTGCACTCTGAAGTATACCTTGACATACATTGAGTTCCAAGAGGAGAATGAAACCATGCTATGGCAAAATCCTGGCTGATGATCAAGATCTGGGGTTTGCACATTTGGTTAAAAACAATTACATCAGGGAAACAAGAAGTGAAGACATAAAGAAACAACATCACTCTTTTTCAATGATGCAATCTAACTCCAGAGAATGGGCGCTCCATTTTGATTTCAAAGTGTGTGGTCCCGCAGTTGAATTCTTTCCATCCCAGGAGCTGTCTGCGGCTGTGAGGCAGCACTTAATGAGGACGGAGCAGGAGGGAAGTGTGAGCTGAACTACAGAGATGGTCACTGATAAAACACGCTCCTGGACAGCCTGGGCCCACTCAGAGGTGAAGGGCAGCCAGGACCATCAATACAAAAGAAAAATGTGCTCACTGAACTGCACACATCGAGCTTCTAGGCCGGTTAACAGTTCTCGACACAGGTTCCTGGCTGTAGTTTACAATATCTGCCTTCACCACCCTCTGCCATAAAAGAAAAGAGTTATTACCAAGACATCAGAAAGAGTTTCTTACAGCACATTTTCATTTTCTGAACTATGGTGAATTCCTGATGACAAACAGCATAAATGAAGCAGGAGCTGATTTTAAAAGCATCAGCCAGGACTAATAAAGAGTTGAGGGTTTGTTTGGTTTTTAGCAATGGCAGTCCAGCAACTGAGTCACTTCTAGTCTAACAACACTGAGGGTATGACAAGTCTCAATGAAAATTGACGAATCAATATAAAAATGAAACTTAGTTATAATTTGAGCAAAATAATTCAAATTAACCATCCACACATAATTCATACATCAGACCTCTTTGTTTCAGGCTAAAAATTTTCATTTTTTAATACTGACATGAGCAACTATCCCCAACCATACGTTTCTGGGAAAATTTATAGCAGTCTGTGAATTACTGAGGTATATCAAAAGGATTTACAAATAAAGCAGAAGAGATCCACATAATCCAATTTTTTGAACTTTTCCCATTTTTAAAACCTTGATCCCAAATCCCTAACTTCCTTCCAAATAGCTCACTACTAGGTTGGGAATAATGACTCTAACAAAACATGGCATACTGGGGAATTTTGAGAGTTAACTCATATTTATGTCTTAAAAATGACTTAAGCAGATACTTTCAACCCTTCCTTCCTTAAAATGCACCTGAAGCAGTGAATTCAGTAAAATGCTCTAATATTCATCTCTAAGGAATCTAAATTACAACAAATCCTTTACTGTATTAAATCCTATTGCTAAATGCACACATAAGCAGACAAAGAAAGGCAATTCAAGGAAAATTCTAAAAACATTCTTGCAACTACCGGGCTATTTCACAGAAAAAAAAATGTTAAGAAACGAATACTAAAATAACTGCTTAAATTCTCTATTTCAGTACATATATAATAAACAGAACCATAAAACAAATTCATTTAAAAGTAACTAAAATGTTATTTTAATTTGTTCTCAGTTTCTTCTTTAATTTTTAAGTGTTCTACCAAAGATCAACTTTTCAAAGCTCTAGAACAAAACTTATGTAGTATTACTTTATTAAAAAATACAACAATCATCTGAACTACCCTATTCCTAAGGAATAAAGAACAAGATAACATTCACTAGTCCTTCCCACCTCCCCTCCCCAAATTGCAACAATTTATGCATTAATACCTGCACTACTGTACTGAACAGATTCTACTCTGAGAAGAGCTGGTGTGTTGGTTATCTTCTTCCGGATACTTCACTATTTCTGCCCTGACAATATGCTGTCAATTCCATACAGCATAAAAAAGATGAAGGAAGAAAAGAGAGAGAATATGAAAAGTATGTTTAATGACTGAAAGAAGGAAAACACCAAGGTAGAAAGAAAAATTAACTCATAAGTTTAAACATATCACAAAAGAAATAGCAGAATGTATGCACACAAACAAAAAAAGGAGAGGCTCTATAAACAGTATTCTTAATAATTCAATTCAATTATTAAAATAGAGAAATCCACTGAACTTCCTAGACAAATTAGGAGTTCTGCTTTTAACACCACAATTAGCTTTTTGCTCATTAAGAAGAAATAAAGTGTGGATTTGTCTGCCTCCTCTAGCCTCGAACCTCAGTTCTCAAATTTCAACCTCCTGAGTAGCTATGATTATAGGTGTGAACCACCAGCTCTGGCTTTGCAATTTTTATATGTAACAATACTTACTATTGGACCAAGATTTCCTTTTGTAACTCAACCACTCCACCATTCCTCCCAACCCAAATCTCCATACTTCTAAATTCAATAGAAAAAGAAACAAGTTCAAATGCAGTTGTGGATGTGCATGTAAAAGGGAGACTGAGGGAGGGAGGGAAGGAGAGGGTGACAGGATTTATAGGCTTACAGAACATTGCAAAATGTATGAAAATAGCATAGGAAGCCTTCTATAAACTGTTAAAAGGCGTAGATGAGGTAAGATTATTAGAATAGGGACTTTTATATGCAATGTGCAATGTAATAAAGCCTCAATTAACTTATACTCATTTTTATAAATACAGTTGTGGCACATGTTGAGAAAATCAATACAATATTTAAGCACAACAGCTATTGCTTCTGAATATATAAAAGCTTCTTCTAAATAAAAATGGAAACTACAGTCTCGTGTTTTAAAGTGCACTTAGGGATGAGAAGACCATACGAATCATATATTTCTGATAAAGAGAACCTCTCCAACTTTTTTAGATATGAAAGTATCCTCACTTTTCCATGATTGCAGATTCCATGACTGTTCAGAAAATATTCCTTCATAAAAGCTTCTATTCATTTCTTAACACATACAGAAAAACACCTCACTATGGCTGCTACTTATGAAGACAGTGATAAATAAAGATTTGACAGACAGCTGAGAGTAAATGAACAGGATACTGGAGTGTATGAATATACAAGCTTGGATGTTCTCTAGCAAGCAGTATTAACCTTTAGACAAGAATCATGATTTATCAGGCTCTCAGCTTGATGCTACGGACAGAGAATTACCAACTGCATGAGGAGTGCACATCTGTGAAATGTCGTCCACCATTATCTGACCTCCTTCCACCTACTTGTTTCATGCCAAACTATGGGTTACAATGAAGAGAAGAGAGATCATAATCAGTAAGCAATGATTAACCCAACAAAACGTTGGTTTAAGATCTATCCTATAAACACAACTAGGTTACAGACCTGACTCAAGACATTTTGTTAAGGTACTAACATACATGATTTAATTTTCACCATTTTTATCAAATTAATTTTTAAAAAACTAACAAGGCAACATCTTTCATAGTTGTTCTATGTAACCTAAGGATTTGTACAACTATTCCAAACTCATAGCCATAAATAAGGTTCTGCAGATTCAAACTTTACTCATTACGAGTAGAAAAATGTAATTGTCATGTCATTACTACTTCAGGGTAGGTGGTTTCACAGCAGTTCACTTGTTTACAAGCCTACATTACCTACCAAAAAAAAAAAAAGGCCTTTATTTTTGGAGAAAAAAGTTCACTCAATTATTTTCTGAAATTGGAGTGAATATAAATGAACTGGCACTAACAACAGCTTAACTCTGATCTTGTCAACACATTTCCAAGTAGATAATAGAAATGCCAGTGGTAGAGAGACAAAGCATAAATAAGGAGCCAACCCAAGGGCTAAGCTGAAAGGTATAAGGAATAAAACTCAAATTCTATCCATCATAAAATTGTGCCTTAATCTAGATAGTATCTACCAATGCAAGAGCCATGCTTCGCCAAGGCCAGCATAAGGAGTAAGTCGCAATGAAAGCTAAACTATTTGTTAAATGTTAATATCATTATTCTTGGTATTATACAACACTGAGCTCTGATACATAAAAGTCTAGGATAGAAAACTGAGGTTAACTGGTTTTAAAAGAATATTTTGAAGCCAGGCACCAGTGGCTCAGCCTGTCATCCTAGCTACTCAGGAGGCTGAGATCTGAGGATCACGGTTCAAAGCCAACCCAGGCAAGGAAAGTCCATGAGACTCTCATCTCCAATAAACCACTCAGAAAACTGGAAGTAGTGCTGTGGTTCAAGTGCTAAAGCAGTAAGCTTGAGCTGAAGAGCTCGGGAACAGCACCTAGGCCCAGAGTTCAAGCCCCTCAACCAACAAAAAAAAAGAAAGAGTATTTTGACTAATCAATATATATTCGAAGTAGAAAAAGATTGGGGCTGGAAATGTGGCTTAATGGCAGAGTGCTTGCCTAGCATGCATGAAGCCCTGGTTCAATTTCTCAGTACCACATAAACAGAAGTAGCACTGAGGCTCAAGTGGTAGAGTACTAGCCTTGAACAAAAAGAAACTCAGGGACAATGTCCAGTCCTGAGTTCAAGCCCCAGGACTGGCAAAAAAAAAAAATAGTTTATAGATTACCATATGAAGCATGGATACAACCTGGTAACCAGCACGGTACTTTATATGTAGTAGGAACTAAAAGTAACTATGCTACTCCTTTTCCAGGACCACTACATGTTGCGAGTAACATTCACAACTTTGCTCAAGCAATTTCACCTCTTTAGCTTCACAATCTTCTAATGTATAAAATGCAAGGCTATCTAAGGTATCATATCTGGTTTTGGAATTATGTAAAGGTGAATAGGAAAAAAGAAAAACTAGATATGATATGGAGGCCCATTAGGCAACATTCAGTATCTGAGGGTCTGAGTTGTATATATAAAATGAGTGAAAGCAAGTGCACTCTGGGAAGAGAACAGAATTCCAGTATGGGCCCGCAAGCAGTACCTACATTAAAAGACGCGCCTTAGCAGAGGAGGAGGCTACAATGCTTGATAAGAAATGTACTCACTATCTCACCCATGTAACTGTAACCCCTCTGTATGGGATTTTAACAATAAAAAAAAAAAGAAGTGCCTTAAAGAAAGGTAATACTGAGATAAATTCAAAGATCCTTAGGCTCGGGACACTTTTGTACATAGATGCTAAAGGTAAGACTAACATCTAGCCCATATCTACCATATGGTAGATCGGTCATATTAAACACTTCCATAGGTAATGTGAAAATAATCTGAGAAGACAATAAGCAATACATATTTTAATAAGTTTAGTGAATGTCTCAGAAAAACAAAAATTTCTGTTTATAAGAAAATTCATGCATAACTAATTCAAACCAAATATAGGAAGTAGCGCTGTAGCTCAAGCCTTGAGCTGAAGAGCTGAGGGACAGCGCCCAGGCCCAGAGTTCAAGCCCCACGACCGATAAAAAAAAAGAAAAAAAAAACAAATATAAACTCAATAGTTTACTGACAAATGAAATTGTCAAGGCTTAAAATGTATGAATAAACCATAACTCAAGTATATATGGCCAAATTCAGACTAAACGAAACAAGACATAGAAGTATTTACTTTCCTCAAAGATTATGCAAAATATTCACATGTTCAATTCAGCTTTCCTAGGAAACAATACTTATAAACATATTTTTTCCCTGAAGCTTTGACTACTTTGCAAATGACAACAAAAATCTTAACACTCTGGGAAATTGGGCATATTATTATCAATGGCCCTGATTTTCACATTACCTGGCCCTGGGGTGGGCGGGGGGGTGGGTGAGGAGAGGGGAGCAGGGCAGGAGTGGAGGATAAACGACGCAAATGAAACAATGAAACCTGGGATTGTGAGGGGAAAAGCTTCTGTCATATATCTAATTGTTAAAATGTCTGTGCACTCCTTGAGGACAGGGAGCTATCCATCTCTGTAGCCTGACACTCCACCATGGCCAGCTCCTTTAAGGAGAGAGAGCCTCAAAGTAGGTTGCTGCAGGCTGCTGCATTCACTTCCTTTTCTGCTTCTCTCCTTTTTCTTCTTGTAAAACTTACAAAAATGTGCTGGTAATTCAATTTTATATGACTCTCAAACAGAAGCAATCTAGGGTTAGAACTAATATAGCAGAACCTAAATCATCAGTGAATGGAACTAAAACTAAAACCTCATTTTAAATATTTATGTCACAAGATAAATTATTATAGTGTCAATTCCCATTTGGCTAGTGAATCATTCATTTACCTCTTCTATAAAATACAAAATACTTTTAAACATTACCTTGAATCCATCGTGAATCTCTCAGGTATCATTAAAAACAGAAAACATGCAAAATACATGCATGTCAACAAACAACCTGGACTTCTTACTCATTTTTACTCCCTGATTTCTTTCTCCTCCCCCCTCAACCTTCTTCATTCTCTAATCCCCTCCCTTCTCCCCTTCTGACTCTCTGTCCTTTACACACCCCCTGTCCCACCTGCTCTTTCCTTCTCTCTTCTCTCTCTTGTCTCTGAACTGAGGTCTCACTACACTGCTTAGTTTCACCGGCTGAAGTGGCCTTTGTACTGCTGACTCTTAAGTGCTGACACTGCAGGCCCGTGCCATCTCATGCTCCTAGGGCTTGTTATTCTCTTAAATAAACTTTTAAATACACTTTTTTTGAGAAATATCAACTGTGAAACTCATGATTAAATCAGTAAAGTCACCAATTAATTGGGTTCAAAAAAAGATAATGAGACCTCCCACTATACACAAAGAATTCGGACCAACATCATAGAGGAGGGCTCTAGCAGCTTAAATTCGCCTTCAAATACATGAAGACAGAATTGAATCACAAAGCATAAACAAGGCAGGTAACATCACTAAACACAGCTAGCCTCTCTTCAGTTTATATATGCCTTGGTGGTAAGCCCAAGATACTGGCTTGAGAGGAGGGAGCTAAGAGTTTCTCTGAAGATTTCCTGTACCTGAGCAGGCAGCAGCACAGCTCAGAGTACCAGGGGTTCTTTTCCAGTCAGAATGCCCCCTGTGAAACACCAGCACACCTCCCTTCTAGGATGGCTCCCCAATCACTGACAGTCCCTGTCCCCATTCCTCCAGGTATGAAACTGAAGCTGCAGGGTTAAAGGCTGGAAGGACAGGTGCCCAGGGATCAGTGCGTGGCTTTCGTGCCTGAGGCCCTGGGTTGCATCCTTAGTGCAAAATAAAGCCCAAGAAAAAAACATCTCAGGACTCCTATCCAATCATTCAACAAACCCTATTAGTTCTTGGATAAACCCATCCATGTCTTCCCTCTCCCTTCCCTTGATTCTGACGTCTACCACACAGAAGTAGCAATCCTCCTTCTAACCCCTTCCCAGCAACTGACACCCATTGTAAAAACTCTATCTAGAAACCGCTTTCATTTACTTCCCTGTCTAAATATTATTTCCCCACGCTCTGCTTGGCATTCATAGATCTTCATAACCTGTTAGAAAACTCCCTTTATACTTGACTATATAAACAAACTGCTCTTCAGCTTCCAAATTACAACCTAATCTTTTCTATACAGGTATACTGTATATCCAGGTCCTCTTTCAGCCATTTTCTTCCTCTGCACTGCAGAGTCAATATGGCTGAGTAGAAACAAACTATCAGGCAGGCCTATGTTCAAATCTGGCTTCACCATTATAGCCTAGTAATAAGTTACTTAGCTTCTCCGCAGTGGTTTGATGGTGCAATTATGAAATATCACCTGCCTCAGAGTTATTATGACTGAATGAATTAACAGAGTACCTGCACATATATATTAATGACCTTTACTGGAAGCAAGGGTTATACTTTAAATTCCTTTGGGGCCCACCAATATACTTCATAGGCAACCAATGACCAATGAATCACTTATGATTATTTGATCATCATTCATAGATGGCCCAATTAACCAGACACAAGCATCATTCAGAAAGAGAAATGAACAATGAAGAAATTACTTGAATTCTTAGATCCTTGGGGTCTGTAGGATCAAGCAAATCATCAGGACTTTTCTTTCATATATTCCTCTAGGCCAAAATCAAGTAACTTTTTTTTCAATGTTCCTGGGCTATTTACAAAGGACAAAATATCTTACCACTGCGTCTGGCCAAAGGAAGTCTGAAAAAATGCCTCTGATGAGAATTAAAAGTAGCAAATTTCCAGAGTTCTAAGTATTTTAATGAAATCTTAAGAAACAGCATTTCAGTTGTTATTTGTCCTAACTGCTTTGGCATTCATCACATACAGAGTGACCATAAGAATACGTCACCGAACTACTTCTAAATAAGTTAGTTTAAAAATGAAAAAAAGATAACTTAATCCTTTTAGCAGCATGGGTAGGAGAGAGGTAGAGGATACTGAGAAAAAAATGTTCTTTGCTTCTATCCAAACCACTCTTGCTTTAATTTTTCATTCTGTTAAACATGTGCATTAGAGTACAATTATAATGGTATTTTTAAGTTCTTGACAATTGGCATTTATGTTTGTTTCTTGGCCTCAAACTGTGTAGGAATAGTGAAAGCATATAGAAATCCTCAATAATTGATAACAATTCTAAAATAATACCAAGAACCACTATAATTGTAGTGGAGTGGTTTTAGAGATGAACACATAGCCCTGAAAAAACTTTAAAAAGTACAAAATGAATCTCAATCCATTAATTAGCCACTAATAAAATACTTCTTCAAAGGTACCATAATTTTGCAGAAAGTTAATTCTTCAATTTCTTCAATGAACATTGATTTTTATATACAATCTATTTTCAAAGTGTTCAGAAATATATAAATTGAATGCATATTATATGGAAAAATTCTTGGGTAAGAAATAATTTTAGGAAATATATTAATTTTTAAATAAAAAGTTCAAGATCATCACCTGTGACTGTTCTATTTCTGCTTTGTTTAATTTGATGCCAAGGATTTCTGCAGCAACTTTCTGAAAACACAGGAAGACCTACATAACAAAAAATAGATTTAAATGATTTAAAACAGGCATGCTTACCTTCAAATAAATTCAACTTTAAAAAAATGATAAACAGCAGGAGTTCACAAATACGATGTATTGGATCATTCCAAAAATAGCTTATACTAACATAATTTAAAAGATAATAATTTGAAAATCCATGGAATTTACTGTCTAAACCTACATGTATTCCTAAAAACATTTTTAAAGATCTAACAAGAAAATTAGAGCTACTTTAAAAAACCACAACAATGCACAATATCTACTAGCATAATGAATACCTAGAACTCCTGAACAAAACGAAATAATCTATATTGCTCTGGTTTTTCATTACCAATTTTCTGCTGGTCTTTTGAGCTGGGTTTAGTCCATTTTAAAAGCTCTTGGTTTCAACCTATCAACAACCTTTTTAGGCTTCTTTTCAATTTCAACAAACTCTTGGGTAAAATAACTTTGGTACTCTAGACTGCATTTTATCCATTCAGGGTAAAGGAGCACTATACTGCATTCTAATTAAACAGAAATGTACAAATACTTCATACATGGTAAAAAGACTATGATTCCTGGAGCTCCAGTCCTGGCATTTACAGAAGTGTAACTTTTGCCTCACAAGTGTCCTACAATATTCCTAGTCCTATTCATAACTCCTTACTGAATATTTACCACAACTTTACTAATCTTTGAATTTTAATCAAAAAGAAATGTTTATTCCTAAAAGACTTATGTTATTTATATTTATATTATTTATATTATATTTATGTTATTTATATTTAAGTTCACTGATTGTTTAGTTCAAGGAACTACAGAAAAACTAGTGTGGTGGTGTGGAGAGAAATGAAAGATTATAAAAGAAGATGAGCCAAAAGATGCAGGACATACGAATCATATAGGATTATGAGGGCTGTTGGGATGACTCTGAGTTTACTCTGGATGAATTAGAAGCCACTGGAGGGTAGTACCATTCTGGTAGAATACTACATGCTCATCATGAGCAAAATGAGAAACTATGGATGCTGAAGCAAAGTGATAGTGGGAATGATAAGAAAGTCACCAAGTTCCAGACGCATTTTCAAAGAAGAATCAATAGGAGTTGGTGATCGATGGATGTTCACTAACAGAGAAAGGATTCCATTTTCTTGACCTGAGCAACTGGTAGAATAGATCTGCTATTTATTCAATTGAGGTATTTGAGAAGGGACTATAAATAGCCCAGTCCTGGATGTGTAGACACCCAAACAGACACGCTAAATTGGCAGTTGGTACTAGAGTTCAAGGAAGATGTGTGGAGAAAGTGCTAAAGGAGTAAGTTTAGAAATGAGATGCCCCAGAACTAAGCACTATAGTATACAGTACATCATTTAGTGGGTGCAGAAACAAGAAGGGATCAGCCTAACATCGAATAGGGCAAGGTTGAAGGAAAACCAGATGCATTGGGCTAAAAGGTAGGTGGAAAAAAGTATTTGAAAGAGTGATGCATCAACTATTTTACATGTTGCTACTAAGGTAAGTAAGATGAGGATGAAAAGTGAGTGCTAAAGTCAGTAAAAAAAAAAAAAAAAGTCATTGGTAAGCTTATAACAGCAGTCTGAATGATGTATTTGAGGCTGGAACTGTTTATGAGAAACCTGGAGGAAAGAAACCGGAGATAACTTTTCTAAAGCATTCATCTGAGAAGTGAAGAAAGGCAGAAGGCAGAGAATAGAAAAAGATGTGGAATGAAGAGTTTCTTTGACAGAGTAATTAGTAGACAAGGGGAAAAAAAGCCATCATGATGAGGGAGAAAAAGAATTTTAGAAAGCATCTGGATGCCAGCTGCTCATGCCAATAATCCTAGCTACTCTGAAGGCTGAGATCTAAGGATCCAGGTTGAAGCCAGCCCAAACGGGAAATTCTCCACTAAACTACTGAAAAAGCCAAACCTGGAGATGTGGTTCAAGTGGTAGTTTAGTGCAAAAAAATAAAGCTCAGGAATAGTACCCAGGCCCTGATTTCAAGCCCCCAGGACTAGCGCGCACACACACACATACACACATACACACACACACTCTCTCTCTCTCTCTCTCTCTCTCTCTCTCTCTCTCTCTCTCTAAAGCAATATCCGAAATTAGAGAATTGGAACTAGCTAGGGGCACAGATCCCACAAAACCACAAGGAAGATGGAGATAGGTGGGGTGGGAAGAGGAACTCTACAATAGATAAGATGGAAGAACTAATAGAAGTTGTCTTTTTTAAGTGGAAACAAGATTTTTTTTCCTTTGTTGCTGTTTTTGTTTTCTTTTCCTTTTGTCTTGTTTATCTGTCTTCAGGAGGGTATGGGGTACATAGAAAGGTGGGACAAAAGGTGAACAAATACAGCAGTGATACTAGAAACTATGCTGAAAGTGATCTGGCCAAGTAGATTTCACAGATTGACAGAGGAAGAGAAAGAAAGAGAACTGAGGATACACACATGACAATAATTTTGCCTTACCATGAGATCTCAATTAGGAAGAGGATGAAATGAGGACGTAGAACATTAAGGACTTCAAAAAAGATGTGGGGAAGAGTGTCACAATGCAATGGTATAAATTATACAGTAAAGGTGTAAATTAATTTAGCCTTCTTAGTGAAAATTTGGCAATATCTTTCCTGTTAAGGAATTCCTGATAGGGAATCTATTTAAAGAAAATAATCAAAATGTCAAAAGTGTACGTGAAAATTTTACACTAAAATATGTTCAAAACTTAGAAACAACCTACCTAACAATAGGGACAGGACTAAATATATTTTGAACATAAAGGATTATTAAACCTACTTGAAAATGAGAAATATTCCCAGAGATAAAAATGTTTTTAAAATTACTTATATATTATGATCTTACTTTTTATTTCAGGGATGACAGTGAGCCCTGAAATGTTACCTGCCTTGGTCACAAAACAGTCTCTACCACAACTTTCTAGCTGCATCTGCTGGGCCCTGTTACCTGGCCTCCCTACAGCATATCTGGGCAATGGAGATAGTAAGAGCCCAGTGCCATCTGCTGCAGGCCATAGCTCTAACATCTGTGAACACCAGGAAAGGGAGGCCATGAGGATTGCATGAGGCTCAGTGGTCATCTCTGAATGTTGTGATTATGGATGCTTTCTATTCTTTGTAAATCTCTGCATGTTTAAATTCCTTAAAATAGGAAAATTACCATAACTATAAAAGCAATATGACCATAATAAACATATTACTTCAAATCAAGATACTTTGTCTTCAATAAGAATGAATTTCTTTCAAGAGAAATATTTTTCTTAGGAATGTTACAAAATAAAAGTGAAACATTATTTATAATATGCAATATTTATTATTTTACTTACAGAGTCTCCTGTCTTAGCTGAGACAAAATGGCTACTAAAACCATTTTCTTGGCAAAATCGGAGATGTTTTTCAGGTTTTACTGTTCTCATATGCTCCAAATCAACTAGAAAACAGAAAATACAATATTAAACAAAACATTCCTAACATGCCTAAATTTGACTTACTTTCTAATATTATACTCCAATTTAGACATTAGGTATATAATATTAACTTCTTTACATCTTCTTTACAAACTAGGAATAATAATTATACATATCTTATCATTTTTTTCAGAAACATTCCATGAATGATTAGCAGAAGCCAGCATATAAATGCTCAAAAATTGAATTATCAGACTGGGCACTATGTTGCATGCCTGTAATTTCAGCTGCTCAGATAGATGTCTGGAAGATGGTGATTCAAGGCCAACCTGGACAGAAAGTAAGCAAGATCCCATCTCAATCAGCAAGTGTGGTAGTTCACCTCTGTGATCCCAGCTATGTGCAAGATATAGATAGGAAAATTTTCATGTCTAAGACCAGTCCTGAGCAAAAAGGACAAGACCCTACCTAAAAATCAAGGAAAGCAATAAATAGTTAAGGGCACAGCTAAAGTGGTGGAGAGCTTAGCAAACGTGAGGCCCTGAGTACAAACTCTAGTAACCTCAATAAACAATAAAAGATGATGCTACCACTATCTCTACAAATTTAGGCACATTGATGACCCTCAAAAAAAAACTACTTAATACAAGCATTTAAATATAGTAATTAGGGCTGGGAAGCTGGCTCAGTAGTAGAGAGGTTGCCTTGCATATATGAGGCCCTGGGTTCGATTCCTCAGCACCACATAAGCAGAAAAAGCCGGAAGTGGCGCTGTGGCTCAAGTGGTAGAGCGCTAGCCTTTATCTGAAGAGCTGAGGGACAGCACCCAGGCCCAGAGTTCAGGCCCCACAACCGGCACCAAAAAAAAAAAAAAATTGAAGATAAGGTATACATAATCCAATCATATTTGTCTGAACCAATAATTGCTTTGATAATTAGATGTTCTTTAATATTTGTAATTTAAATATTATCATAAATACCTAATATTCTTCTAAAAAGATCAGCACTATATTGCATGATTTATTCATAATCATGGTTTAATTTTACAATGATACAGTTCAGCTGCTTCCCAAGTCTAAAGTCTCCATTTTGAGAGTAATGGGCCAATGTAGTATTTCTTTGAACAGATGTGAGTACTTCAAAGCAGAGCACAGAATTCAGACCCAATGCTGGTTTTATCCAGCAGTTAATTTATTTAAATGTGATCCTTTAGAAAACACTTTCCCTTTTTACAAGACTACAAACCCTATAAGGCTATTGAGTCAATGCTGTCAAATTATGAGGCAAATATATTCACAGGACTTAGGGACAACTAGACTCTTTGAGTAAATGAAGGAGAAAAAAAAAAAACCTAAACTGATTTCCTGAAGAACAGACCCAACTGACTTGCAAAAGCTTGTATATCTGAAAATCTAGTAAGCCTACATAATAGTCATAATTGATTATCAATTTAAAATACTATTCTCATACTTCATAAAAGGTTTTATTTAAAATTATATTGGAAGTTTTTAGTGTGAAGACTCAAAAGATCTTTCTCTGGGAGCCCTATTTATTTTGATTTACCTTGGAAAATAGGGAGTTGTGTTTTGTTTTCTGGCCACAAGTTGCTATTCCTTAAGTATCACTGAAACCTTACTTACAGGAATAGGACCTAAGATGTGCAGATGCCATAGCAGCTACCTGTAGAAAACTAAAATACTAAGCTATTAGTACTGCCAATTATATATCTAGTTCATCATAATTTTGAAACTAGAATACTTCCCTAGTTTAATAAGAATAAGAACCAGCATGAACTATGGAAAATCCCCAGTGAAATTTCTATTCAGTTAAAAAGACAAGAAGTTGTGTTATAAAAGTCAGTTTACATTTGTCTTTTCTAATAGAAATGCCTATCACTGCTTAATCAAAGAAATATTTAGCAACAAGCATTTATTGAGCCAGACACTATTGTAAGCCATGAAACACAATATGAAAAGTATCCAATCCATTCCTTCAAAAAGAATAACTGTCAATATTTAGGGGGGAGGGGTAAGGCCATTAAGATTTATAAAAATTATTTTAAGTAACTGACCTCTCACAAATGAGATAATAGATATAAAAGAAAAGGCACAACACTTCCCTACAAAGCTATCCCCATGTATTAGGATCCCGTAACCAACATTAAGAAGATTCTGCTACTATCTTAAGTGATCTAAATGTGTTCTCCCAAATTCTGTCAAAATGTATTTGCCCAGGTGATAATATCAAAAGGTGTGAGGACTTTGTAGGATGCAATTGAATCATGAGGCCTGAGTTTTTATGGATAAGATCAGAATTCTTATAAAAGGGTTTGAAGGAGTGGGTTTGGTCTTTTCTGACCTTCTGCCAGAAGAGAACACAGCAATCTAAGTGCCGTCTTGGAAGGAGAGATGGGGCCCTGATATTGATGTACCAGTGACCTGATCTTTCATTTCTCAGCCTCTAGAACTGTGAGAAATAAATTTCTATGTTTACAAATATACTCAGTTTCAGAGATTTTGTTATATCAGTACTAATAGGACAGTTGAGTAATTCATCCTAAATAAGACAGATGAAAATGAAGATGTAATTTTAGTAAGACACTGGCAAAATCTTTTTCTTCTTCAACATTTAGGATCATTCTTAAAATTATTGCTAGTATATCTATCATACCAATAGTAACACCCTCACTGTTACAATTTCCTTACCTTATTTAATCACATAATTTTTCTACATCTTACATTTTATTTTTGAACAAAGAATTAAAATTTGATATAAGAAAAGGAATCAGAAAAATAAAATTTAACTGTCATAACTTAAAGGTGACAATTAACATTTTGATGTACATCTTTTTAATGTCTAAACAGTAGAAAGATAATGGAATTAATACGTACAATTCATTTTAAACTTGTGTGTAACTATTTCAGAGGATATCCATGTTCAACAAATATTTGGATGCCTATTATGGCAAGGCATTGTCCTGGGCAAAGAGATTAGGATTACGGAAGGCTAAGATGTGAGCATTATGGTTTGAAGCCAGCCCAAACAGAATACTCCTCTATTAGCCAGCAGGAAAAAACAAGATAGACTGTAGGTTTGGTTCAAATGGTAGAATCTAGCTATGAGTGAAAAAGCCAAACAAGAGCAAGAGGGCCTGAGTTCAAGCCCAGGAACTAGCATGTGCATGCCATAATAGGATACGTTAATGAATTTGAAGAAGGATGTGAGGAACACAGAGAAGTCACTTTAAAGTACTCATTCTAGATTTTAAGCTTGTTAAAATACTATAATTTTATTCAAGCACACATTCTGCTGGAAAGTGCTGAGCAAGAAAGTCAAATCAGAGCCCTAAATTCAAGAACTAGCATGAAAAGTATCATTCTAAAGAATAACATAAGAAATTTTAATTATTTTAAAAATATAAGTTGTACATTTTTTATAATTTAGGTTTTCAGCAAGAAACAGATGCTAGCAAAAGCACATTACAGGGCTTCATGGAATATTAAAATCCAGTAAGACTTTCTCAGAAATATAGCTAATATGTTATAGAATGTTAGGGTACCTTAGAGGTCTTTTAAATACTTGTGTAAACCTGTGGGGGGGGGGAACTGATCAATTTTACTAAAATGGGAAGAAATGCTAACTGAAAAAAATGTTTACCTTTAAATTAGCAGAAATGAAAAAATTAAGAATCTGTAGTAATAACAAAAGCTGGTAGTGGCTTTCTGAAAGACAATGTGGAAATATGTGTTTTAATCTTACAAACATTTTAGCCTGTGACCAAGTAACACACCTTGAAAGGGTTTAATGCAAAGAAAACACAGGATATATAATAAGAATTATAAATTAAGACCTTCAAAGAGTTGTATGTAGAATAAAAAAACCCTAGAATCAATATAAATTTCTTGAAGTAGTTACACAGTTAAATTATAGTACAATTATATAACATGATTCTCTGGGAAGTAAAAGTAATAGACTTAGAGTATTAAGTGCAAAATGTATGAGGTGAAACATATAAGATGTTAAATTTAGAGTAGATAATTGTGTATACAGTAAGACTATAAGAATGATATGTATATACTGTACAATCCAATAAATACATAACAAAGATATTCACATTTTAAAATAATTTTTAAATTAAAACAGAAAGGAATCAGATAAAAAGAACTGATAGCTTTTCTTTTGGTCTAGCATTTCAAGGATGTGTATATGGTGGGCAGACTAGAGAGAGAGTCTCCCTCTGGGATACAGGGTAGTTTTATTTATTGTCTGGTATAATAAAGGTGATATCTCCTTCCAGAGCAAAGATGATGAATTATATACCAAAAGTCCCGTATGAGAAATAACTTTTCTCAACTTCTCAACTGTTTGTATTAAAGCAAATGTAAAAGAAACTGGGGCTGGATATACCCACAGTCCTTCAATTATTCATTGGCTCATTTGGAGAGAAAGCAGGTCATAGTAGCAAAGAATGCACTTCCCCAACGGAGTATAAGTGTTCCCTTTCCTCCACCTCCTCTCCAGCACTTGTCCCTCCTCTTTCTCTGCTTCCTAACATTCCCCTCTCTCCCCGCATCCAATGCTGGGAACTTAACTCAGAGCCTAGCTCTTGGTAAGCAAGTACTCCAAGCACTTAAGCCATGCTCCTAGCCCTTTTGTTTTGAGATTGCTAATTTGCCCATGGTTGGTTTCTAGCTGTGATAGTCCTCAGATTACAGATATGCAGTTTCACACTGGCCTAGTACTTGTTATCTCTTCACATAATAATAAAAATGTATTGCATTCCTGAAAAATGGTGGGAGTAGATTTCAATGTGCGCACACCATTTAAAAAAGGTCAGGTAATGCATACAATAATTAGTTCCATTTAGCCATTCCACTACACATAGATTGGTTGGTATGTAGGTAGATAGGTTGGTAGGTAGGTAGACAGATAAACAGACCGACAGACAGATAGACAAATATCAAAACGTAACATTACATGTGAGATATATACATATATTTATCAATTAAAATAATCAGTAAAA